AAGAACAAAGGTTGCGTTGTTTCTTTCACAGAGTTGTACTGAAATGTGCAAACAGGAGTAAAGGATACTTTTGGTCTTTTATTTGCAGTGGAGTTCAATGCGGATTTGACATCTCCTCTGCTTCACTTTGTTTTTATAGCTTTCTAGATGACCACAACTAGTACAGGAAGGTCAAGCTAAAAGAAGGTATTTATTGTCTTTCCATAGTAATACACAGCTCTTGCTTTTCATCTGTTTATTCTTACAACTAGACTGTGCATCAAAAGAAAATTAAATAGCTGTTCTTACTTGCTACTAAACAGCTAACTTCTGGTGCTTTCTTTCACCTATTTTACCTGTTGTATTACTACAATGATTCCTCCCGTTCACAAGCTTTAAGGCCAATTTAAGGTCGCATTGTATGCAGCAAAGGCCTTGTGATGTGAGTAGACATGACCAGATTGGATCGGTTTGCTAACAAGTGTCTTACACAATTATTACTTTTGCAGGGCAAAAAGATGTTCATAACAGCGTAGAACTTTTCTAGATCAATAATTAACTCTGAATACTGCTCAGACAAATGTATCAGTGGCTCCACAGTATTAACTGCAAAAAGAAGGTAAGGCTGGTGATGTTCTCGTAAGGCATAGCCAAAAAGAATGATTAACTAGAGTAAAAGGCTGTTTACTTCTCATAGCACTTTAGTATTGTGTAAAGGAATCAGTGTAAAACTATAGATGCATTAGAGCTGTTGATAATTTAAATTAAAATTGCACAATAAGCCTTCATTTTTGCTGGACAACTTCAGCTCAAAACTGCCAGATAAAGTTTTCTGGCAGAGATTATGGTCATGACACGGTCCAATTATTATTTTATTTACAAGTAATTAAAGCGAATTAAATTTGAAAAGCTGACTTCACCTTATGTTTGCTTCTAGTCCTCTTGGTTACAGCAAACATACGGCTTTTTCAAATGTTCCATACATTTACATATTCCTGAACGTATGTTCTGTGGTTATAGCTGGGAAATGTAAAGAGTGTACATAACCAACCATTATTTAATCTATCTGTATTAAGTGCAGGATGAGTATATGTAGTTTGTGCTGGAGTAGGCAGCTGTAGTTTAGAGAAAATGTATTTTACACTTTATACCCTACTAAAGGCTTTTCTGTTCTACATGCATACAGTTATGTCTAAATATTGTAACACCTGCTAACTCTCAGGGCATAAAAACACTTTCTCAAGTGCTTTCATTGAGCTTTAAACCTGTCTGAATAAAACATGTTATAACAAGTACCCTTTATATACAAAACAGTAGACTATGAAATCTTTTAAAGAAGAAATGTACACAAGATTCAGTGACTACAAATACTGTTTACACATATGTTGAAATAATTTTATGTAAATAATCTACATTGAGAGAATTCATAATGTTTGAAACAAGAGCTAAACACTGGATATTTTTATAAAGGAGCAAGCACAACACCTCTAAAACTAGAATTTGATGTTGAAAGGATTTTTTGTTGAAAAATCATGACCTACATTCACAGACATTTTGCAGGTCTCTACTTGTTTGTATTCACGACAATACAGCTGTTCCTACATACCTCACGCAGGCAGTGCTCCCCACAGATCAAACTTAGCTTTTATTTAAAGCATTGAACAGGAGCAGTTCCACCAACTTCGGCAGAGATAATCTTGGTTGAAGTAAAGAACACAGGAAAGAAAACCCTATTAGGACTTCAGGTACTGGCCATATACATATAGTTCAGAGCTAATAGAAATGTTAGTGGCCACCCGTTTCCAAGGGAAAAACCCTATGACTACTGTATTTTATCTGATGTTCACCTTTTAAATATATACAACCTAGCTTCACATCTTTCTTAGCATTTTACAACAATATCAACTCCATTTTCAACAGGATTCCGCAAAAATGTTTTTTCACCTATTCCTGTAAAAAATAATCACTTTCCACACAAATCAAAATCTTCATTGTACTTTGCCTCTTCCAAAAGAAAAGTTCAATATCATGCTAACCTATCAGATTTGGTTTACATTTTCAGATAAAGGCATCTCAAAAGCACAAAACCATGTCATTCTTCCTGTGAAGAATCGTGGAAATACAATTCGCAATGAGACCTAAGTCTGAAAATTTCTTAGCATCTCCATGCTTTTCCATTGCTTGGTGTTCTTTTCACTTGCTTCAGAATGTGTTGTTTCAACTGATGATATTTAAAAACCCACAGTGCAGCCTATTATAATTTTCTCTCATATGATGTAACAAAACTATTTGTAAGAATTAACTAATACATGAAAATGCAAGGGGAAAAATAACCAAGAGGCAGGCTTCTTTATTAATTGCAGCTGGGATGAAGACTGGTAACATAACCTAAGCAATTACTACAGTGGATTTTACTTGCTTTATGTATTAATGAAAATAAATGGCTTTTTCTAATTCATAAGGTCTCAGTGTTAACAAAAGGACTGACTTTGTGTGCATGCCTCCCAAAAGTACCACAAATGAGGTACAGAATGTCTTCTAATTGGCGATTGTATTGGCTTTGTTAACCAACAGCTCTATTCTGACCTAACTTGCAAAGTTCTTACAACAGTTGTTATTCTTTTGCTTAGAAGTTTACGTGATATTTCCTTTCTCAAATTATTTTAAAGCTCATCAGGCAGCTTGCAACAATATATACAACAACGGTCAATAAAAATTCAGGTTAATGAGTTAGCCTCAGCCTTGCATAAGAACTGTAGTGTGGTGCCACAGCATCTCAGCAAGCACGCCTGGAACAACGTGTTATGCACAAGGAGAGAGAGATGCACCTCTGACTCCCGTGTCCTAGCTCAAAATACACAAGAACAGTTAAGTCTGTAGCTATCAACATCTCTTAGGAAATATTTTATTTGCAAGAAAGCATTTGGCCTCCAAGCTGACAGGTATACAAACAAAACTCCCATAAATATTTGGCTATTTTATCTAATAAGGGAATCAATGAAAGAATGCCTCAAGAACATGCTCTGCAGTAGCTAACGAAGACCAGCTGTGCAGAATCTCCTATCCACAACAATGCCAGAAACTCATCAAACTTGGAGATAGCGTTGCTTATCAGTTTTTTACTCTTCACTAGAGATAAATCTAGGTTGTAAAAGTCAGCCAGTGTAGTACTAATTGCTATACTGCTGTGTACATATTTATTTACATGTAAAGTAATGACTTCTAGTTACTCGACTGGACATTATGCAACATTTTAATGCACATTTTTTCACATTACACACAAAATCTGACCACAGAAGACCAGGTACAGGTCCTTGGCTGACATAGTTAACACTCTGTTTTGTCTCCTGTGCCTGATTATATTCACAGAAATGACATGGGAAGCCCCTCAGGTTTTGGTGCCAACACAGCACCACACAGACTAAAGATGGAATTCTATGTATGGATTACTGGCAAGTCATTGCTCAAAAATAAAAGTGCTCAAGGAAATGCTTTCAAATGTATCTATAAAGTGCACAGGCCAAAAGCCAGAACTTTCAAACTGTGGAAAAAACAGGGCTGTAAAGTCTAAGTAAGAAAAACAGCACAAAAAGGGAAGCCATGCAGCTGTGTAAGAAAGAACTGCGTTTTTCACACATCTGTTGGAACCTACAACTTCAAAAATACTTAGGTGCTTGACTCCCAGTAATGTCAATGCAAGTTAGGTACCTAAGGGCCACTGTAGATCAGGGCCCAACATGCCAATTCTGTGAGAAATTGCCTGTCCTTTGGAAACTGCATTTCCATCAAAGCCCATTGAACTTCAGAGTGACTTAGCACCTGCAGAAGGCAGTTTGGGCCTCTTAGGACCAAAATGCTCTTGGTTTTTGAAGGGTGAACATTGCCCCACAATGTTCTCCTGAGGACTGCATAATGCATCACCTTGGTCTACACAGATACCAAAAATACCATCCATCATTGGTAGTTAATGTGCAACTAAGGGTAAAAGTAAGATAACACCTTCAGAGACTGTAGGAAACGTCACAAAGATGAACCATGATGAGAAATACGGCGCAGGACATTTTTAGTACATATACAGTATAACAAAAATAAGGTATCTGCTAATTTCACAATTTTGTCCTAGTTCACGTTATGATTAATAATGAAATTCACAATAAATATCAGATGTGTTCTAGGTTCCTCATGAAGGCATCTCAGCTACAGCTCTTGGATTAAATAATGGATGATTCAACATAAGCGAAACTACAAAACGCTTGACTATCTTTACTAATTCTGTTAACATTCTAGAGAACAAAAGACTTCCAGCATTGTCTTCTGCCTCATCATGCATCAACCATTCCTATTTGGGGAGGTTTTTGAAATTTTCTGTATCTGGAAATCCTGTTTAACAATAATTTTTCAAAATAAATTAGATCTGCTCCCTGCTGACGACATAATGAACTGTTATTAACTAAGTGCAGTAGTATGAGGACATCAGAAACTGGCTTGGATAAAATGTTGTCTACATTAGGATAATACAATAAACAAAGTTATGTACTGAAAGAATAACGCCATCTGATGTAACAGCATACGATAGAACTTGGTTGGAAGAACGCTAGAACTAAAAACTATTCCTGTTTACCTACATGTACGTGGTATTTTTAGGTCCTGCTCCCAGAAGAAGGAATTTCCTGAGCAGCCTGAAGTAAATATTTGGCTGTTTCAGTCCTCAGTTTTAGAATCCTGTTAATTTGCCAAATCTGAAGATAGAGACAAAAAGACCATTGAAATGACTGCTCTACCCTACTGGTGAGGACTCCTCTGCACAGATCGCAAAAAACTGTGCGGCAGAACACCCACCTGGACGTATTTAAGCCCCCCAAAACGCGTAAATTGATCTGCGGAGTAACCGTACTTCGCTACGGCCTCGAGGGAACGGGCTGGCACTGGTGCGGGGCCGGCGGGCAAGAGCGGGCCTGTTCCCCCTCCGCAACACCCGCTTCTACAGCATGAACGGGGAACTCGAGCAACATCTACCTTACCGTCACACGTGCGAGACCCCGCAGCCCAGAAAGCACCACCTCATTCACAGCCGCCGTCAGGCCTCCAGGGACCAACTGCACCTACAGACAGCACAAGTCGCTACACAGCACGTGTGTTACATGCAGGTGTTACTGCCTTCCTTAAAACAACACACAGGTAGCATGGGTGCAGATAAATAAAAGCGTAATCTTCCTAACACAGAGCTTAGAACATCGATGAAGAGCAGTTGGACTTCCCATCATTTCTTTAAAGGACAAAAAAGTTTCACTAATAAATTGTCACCTCTCTACCCTACCTGCGCTAGAGTTTCAGGCCATTGTCATCTGCAAGGGTATTTCAAGCAAAGGCGAAGATATATTTAGAATCTGGGTTTTGGACAAACGCTTTAACAGAGAGGGGGTTTCGGCACAGAGCACTCTCTTCCAAACACGCGTAAGATTCTTCCGAAAAGTCCGGCTGGAAAACCTTTATAACCCACACTTCGGCGACCCAATGCTTTTGATACACTTAAGTTCTTGTAGGATTCCCTTATTTTCCAATAAAAACATTCCTCTCTAACCAACCATCTCCGGCTCAGTTTACTACATGAAGAAAAAACGTTCAGTGAAGCAAACCCAACCTCGCTCCCCCAAACCCCGGGTGCGCCGCAGCCCCGGGACGAGCAGCGGCGGGGCTCACCTCCTCGACTGTCAGAGGCATGCAGATCC